CTTGGTGAGCACAAGAGACTTCTTTAAAAAACATTAAAAATCTTACTGTTGAAAAACTTGACTGGTAGTGTATATTTGTATGAAATATAGGTTTATTAAATCTAGGGTATTTAAGTCATTATAAGATAAATAACATTCTTTGCTAACAAATTGAAATGAGGTGGTTGTTTTCAACAAGGTGGACACAGTTCTGTTCATAGCAGTAGACCTGCTGGTGAAGAAGTGACAGGTATGAAAAAAAGGGGGTGGGGGGACAGAGATATTGGGGGAAAATGAAGGAAAGGGAAGTGAAGGTGCAGTGCAAGAGTGAACCTTTAATTATTTTCTACGGCCCCAGACTAAGTATTTAGACCTTTTTTTATGTGATGGCCATACAAATAATAGGGTTGTCTGGTTTCAAAAATTGTTGTGGATGTATAGGCTATATACAGGAAATAAGTGGCCAAAATTGCACCTTTTGGGGTACAACGTGCACTGTGACCGATTTTTGTAATTTGAACAGTATTATACTGTAAAATGTACAGTAAGATACTGTAAAATGTGTATACAGTATTTTACTGTAAACCGCAAAGGATTATGGGAAAATATACGTTCACTACTGTATTTCCTCACTACTGTAAATCAATTTACAGTAGTGAACTTGCCCGCGAAAAAGTATGTTTTTCAATTTTTTATGTGGTGAGTTGGAGCCTTTTTTTCTGACTGATGGCCGGAATGCCTCCAAAGGGCTGATGACATCGACTGGTGAGTAAGTTAAGGTCAGGGCATTGAAGATGAAACGTGGCTGGGTCTTTGAGCATGACAATGATCCCAAACACACCGCCCGGGCAATGAAGGAGTGGCTTCGTAAGAAGCATTTCAAGGTCCTGGAGTGGCCTAGTCAGTCTCCAGATCTCAACCCCATAGAAAATCTTTGGAGGGAGTTGAAAATCCGTGTTGCCCAGCGACAGCCCCAAAACATTACTGCTCTAGAGGAGATCTGCATGGAGGAATGGGCCAAAATACCAGCAACAGTGTGTGAAAACCTTGTGAAGACTTACAGAAAACGTTTGACCTCTGTCATTGCCAACAAAGGGTATATAACAAAGTATTGAGATGAAATTGTTATTGACCAAATACTTATATTCCACCATAATTTGCAAAAATTCTTTAAAAATCCTACACTGTGATTATTATTATTTTTTTTTTTTTCTGGATTTTTTTTCTTCTCATTTTGTCTCTCATAGTTGAGGTATACCTATGATGAAAATTACAGGCCTCTCATCTTTTTAAGTGGGAGAACTTGCACAATTGGTGGCTGACTAAATACTTTTTTGCCCCACTGTATATTAGTCGAAATAAACCTTAGTTAAACCGAGACACACGTTTGTACATTCTGCTGCCCTTTAATGCAAGTTAGCTCCTCTGGCAGTCGTTATTTAACCTTAACAGCGAATTAATGTGAACTACTGAGCTAAAGTGGAGATTTTAAACCGTATTTTCTAACGTTACTACTTTTGTTTGTTATTTTCAGATTTCTAGTCTGGATGTCGTCTGCAATGTTGGAGGTGTATTTTGGATCATCCTCTTGGGAATGCCATAGTATCGATAATAACATCAACTTGTAAGTTAATGTCAGTTAGCCAAAGTTAACTAACTTAGTTGAACAAAGACAAGCATAGTAAGTTATCTTCTTTACTCTGCCTCTTTATTGCAAGGTAATTCTTTTCAAATACTATTTAAGTCAGAAAGTGTGTACCAATGTCGTTTGTAACTTTAGAGACGGTCTCTAAATTCAGTGACAGACGTAACGTTAACATGAAACAGCGAGCTAACAACCTACTGAGGAAAACTGAGTGAAGAAACACCACTGTTAAGAACATCTTTTGTATT